AACATTGATTGGGCTCGTGATTGGTATTCTAGCATTCTGCTTCGCTACTTGTACTACGTGTGTGAGGTCAGTCCTTGCCAGGTCAGTCTTTGTATCTAAGTCTTCCCTGCGCTATTCAGCACTTTTGTATGTATGAGAATGCACATTGTCTGTCGAGATTCTACTCTCACCGCATTGTCCATTTCAGTCCTTTTTATCACACTGCAGTTCCTCGGTTATTACGAACATCACATATCTGTGCATGTAACACTGCTGCTCTTTCGGGCCAGTATCGGGCCAGTATTGGTGCTGTATTCCTTCGGTGGAAATTACTTGATCTGGTTGTTGGGCGAATCCTTTTCTTCAACTCTCCAGATTCCTTTCTAGTTCACAATCTGTTATTTGGCTTTGTTAATTAGGGTTTAGTTATACCATGACTATTATAATTTCAAGTGGCGGTTTGCCTTTTTCTGGCCATCTGCATAGGCTGGACTTATAGGCTTGCTACAGATATTTCGAACATGGATTTTGAATTGGTGACCGTTTAAGGGTGCTGTCGATTTAGACATTTTAGATTACAATTCCATAGGGATAGCTGGTTTCTCAACTCTGGTGCTTCACGCTTGGACATGCATTTGAAATCGTTTTAGGTTGCCGCATAGGTATTAAGACCTTTTTTACTGCGCTTCAGGGGAATTTTTTTAGAAGCTTCTTTGAGATAACAGAGAGAGAAAATGGGACACTGGACCCCGTTTCCAGGTCTGCCGAAGCTTGGTAATGGCCCCAGTATGTTCATCAGGGTTGAATTGTTAGGTCCCCGGCCTCTTCTGAACTTCTGTTATTTGTAATAAAGGTGACCGACGTCTAAAAAAAAATAAAAAAATAAAATGCTGGCAGATTCGTCCAGGCGATTAATCCCGATAGACTTTGTGTGCGTAAGCCCTGAGTCGACCTCCCTCCGCCTTGTAAGTTTGAAACTGCTCCTGAGTCACCTTGTAAGTTTGAAAAAGGCAAGATAAGAGAAAGTGGCGCCTATGTCATTGTTTGAGTTTCAAAATGTGTGTGCAAGTTGAGCGGGGCGTTGAAAGTGCTGCCGTTTTCTTGTGAAAGCGGTGTGCATGCAGATATATAGGCGGCCTTCTTTCTGTTTTTCGTTTTTATAACGAGCAACGGCCTCGAACTGACCGGCCCCAGGTAATTGAGAATTGTCGTATTTCACTCATCTGCTTCCTCTGGAGTTCGAACTCCGGTGTTCAGGGGTGTACCAAACTAGCTAGGCCCCG